CCTACCTTTATATTTAGATACCCTTAAACACTGCAAAGGAAAACTTTGATAGAACTGTCAAATTTCCAATAGAAATTCAGTATCGTCACTATCTTAGTCATAACAGGAATTTATTTCTTGGTGAATTGGGGCTGTGTTGAATATAAAGGGCACCAAGTTGAACATTGGAATCACCTTAAAAATTAAACTTATTCCTCGTATTAAACTGTTCCCAGAGTTTATGTGAGACTTTGTGGTCCCACTTCTGTTCTTTTAATCTTAATCTGTTTATATTTCTAATGTTGTTATCTAGTAAGTGTAGGAAAACACTAGGAGTCATAATCTACATATAGCTGTAGTTCTGTGTGAGTAATTTATGGAATACTGTAAAATTTATGCATTTGTTTTTAGGAAACACGTTTGAGAAAATATGTATATTACATGCACACACATGCCTTCATTATTACTTCTAGAAAATTAACGTAGGCCACAGACCATTTCTTTTATAAATAAGTATGGAATTTTGTTTTAGTCTGTCTTAAGAAGATTAGCATGTTAGAATTGAAACTCAATGAAATATAGTATGATTTGGGTTATTCCTCTTACTCTCAAGTCTCAGCTTTATGCTCCCTCTGAATACCTTTATTGGGGGGGTACATTTTTATTCTTTATTTTAATAATATATTTATTCTTTGAAAATGTTAAGTATATATAGGATATATTTTGATCATATCGATTTATTACCTCTAATTCTCCCAGTAGTCCTTTACTCTGCCTCTTTCCCAACTTCACGTGTTTTAACCTAGGGTTTTTGTTTTTATTGATAACCTCAAGTCAAGTTAGTGCTGCTCATATGGACGTGGATATAGAGACATCCACTGAGTCATGAACTGTTTTACTGGCAGCCATATCCCCAAAGTAGATTGGCTAACTCCCAATAAGGGTTGGGTGTCCCTTATCTTACTCATGTAGGAATTTTGAAGTGCTTGATTTTGTGCAGGTCTTATGAGTTGATGTGTGCAAATACCATGCCATGTCCAGAAGTCATCATTTCACAGCTTTCTTCATGTGCCAGCTTGTAAATTTTTTTATGTTCCCTGAGTCTTGGATGAGGGGAGGTTATTATGAACGCTTCATCCACAACTGAGCACTCACTGTTGTTATGTTTGGGACATGACCAGCTATGAGTCTGTCGGTTAACTGTTAACCCATTACAGAAAGAAACTCCTTTGACCAAAGGGGAAAACACACAGATCTATGGATATTAAAGTAATAGAAGGCAATTCGACTATGTGACAGTTTAACATAACAATTTTAGGTTCCTCCCTTAGGGCCTGTGCTATCCCCAGTCATGAGCTTTTGACCCAGTTTTATATTACCAGGTGTGAAATTCCTCCTGTGGAGCAGGCCCCATATCCACTAAGAAAGTGGTTGGTTACTACCATAACTGTTGTTCCACTCTTGCACCATTGGTTAAATGTTTGTGCTTCTTTGAGTAGAACCTACTGCAGCAGTGCATAGTGGGAAAACTAGGTTCAAAGTCTAAGTGTACTTTTTAACTTGTATGGCCAACTTATGCAAATGGTCTTTCTGAGCCTCAAGTCCCATCTGTAAAATTGAGATGACAATATTATAATGGTGTAGAAACCATATAAATAAGTACTGAACTTTATTAAAGTAGTGTATAAAGTTCAAGTGTTATTTAATATGAATTGCTTAGCCCTCATCTGAAATGCTTTGGGATGAAGGTGTTTTGGAATTCAGATTTTGGAGTATTTTACTTATTTATTTATATATATTGGCATTTTGGAGATGGGGCCCAATTTTAAACATGGACTTCATTTATGATTTCATATATACCACCTACATACAGCCTGAAGGTAATTTTATACAATGTTTTTATGTGTTTCAATATTTTGATTGTCTTGTCACATGAAGTCAGGTACCTTGTTGGTACTCAGTAATAATTTCCTGAATGAGTATCATCCCTATATAGTTACAGCAGATCTATTCTAGCAGTAGTGTTTCAAAAATTTTGCCTATGGCCCACTTCTGCTTGCTGAAATTACAGCTCTTCAGATTCCTTATATATATGTATACTGAGTCGGACTGCATATGAGTTCTCATTAAGTCTGTTTTAAGCAAATGCTACAGTTGGTGGCCATACGTAACTTGAGAAACATGTTTATATTTCACTTTTTAAATTGTAACTATAGTATAAGAAGTAAAAACACTACTGTAGAAATTTTACTAAGCCTTAATTTAATACTAAAGAACTGGAATTATTTCAGAATTATAAAGCTATTCATATGGTTAATATGGGGTATATATATATTTATAATAAAAACAAGGCAATCTGTTTTTGTTTTTTTTTTCCTCTTAGGTTTCATATCAAGATGACTCTAAACCATCGCAGAGGCAGTTTACCATTCTTAACTTTAATGATTTGATAGCATCTGCTATTCCTATGACACCTGAGGATCCTTCATTTTGGGACTGTTTTTGCTTCACAGAAGAAATTCTAATACGGAATGGTACCAAGTCATGATAGATTCCCTGAGTAAGGAAAAGAAATGAAAAGGGCAATCTTCTGTGTTCACTAAACTAAAATGCTGGATGTGCTCAAATTTTATTTATCAAAACATTTTTAAGACCCAAATGCTTTTTAAGAGCAGACTTCCAGTTCAGTGGCTTCTTCCTGTCCAGAATTGTAATTGACAAAAATGATGACAAAATCTTCCAGTGATACATATGCTTTATAGAAAGAAAAAAGTAAAGTATAAACATGTCGAAGGCAAGCATTTTCACAGAATTACCCTAAAACTTGAGTTATCATTCCAGAAACTTTTGTTGCAAATGAATCCATATTAACTTTTTTTAAATGATAACATATGTTTTGAAGAAAATACATATGCTCTTCATAACTGTTGTTGATACATAAACTTAGTGGTTCTAAGATATTGCCTGGTATGATGTCTGTGTGGCATATATTGTAAGGTTTAATTTGTCATTAGCATTACAATACTCACATTGCCTTAGCTGCAGTAACAAACTGCTGCTGGAGCTTCCAGGTTTATATCTTTATACAGTTGTGATATTTGTTTTATCAGTGAGTAGCTCGCCCCCCCCCCAAAGATTCCATCAATTCAGATGTGTCTGATATGTTTTACCACTGTCAAAAACAGACCAGTGAAAGGAAAAGCTAAGCCCTGTTGGGAGAATTTCACTGAGGTAACACTACTACTGGGCTTGAGGAAGATGTACCATAGTGTACTCATTTGCCTTTTAGGAGTTTTAGTTGTGTCATTATTAGTGTAAGCAACAGTACAGTAAAAGCTCTGGCATTTTGAGAGACATGCTTAATTGTGTCTTGCAGACAGGTTTTAGAAATGGAGTGACTGGTCAAAGGGGTTAAACAACTTTGGTATGTATTATCATTGCCCTTGAAAAACTACAGTTCATACTTCAGTTAGTCATGTGTGAGTACCACCATCTGTGTACTCTCTGTTCAACTGTAGGTTTTGCCTTGATTTTATTCTCTGAAGGGTTTTTTGTTCTTTCCTTCTATTGGTCTGTATAACTGAAAAGTGGTACCATATTTTAAGTTTGCATTCATTTCATTACAGATGAGCTTGATATGCCATTGTTACTGGTTATTTGTATTTTCTTTTTATAAACCTCTTGTTCATCTTCATCTGTTTTTATTTACTAAATAGACTTACAGTGTGAACATAATATATTAAGATGCCAAAACCATCATATTGATGAGAGAATCTACTATATGGTTGTAGTAGTGCATGTCTTCAGGAGTTAGTCTTATTACTGTTAAATATTAAGAAGTAGAATAATGCCATTGTTCTTATTACTAACATTAAAAATTATGTGTAAGTTATATAAAATTGCTCAGTAAAAGTGTTTTTATTTTATTTTATTGAGCATGCTTAATTTTACAAAGCATAGAAAATGTTGTAGCATTTCTAATAGATGAAGTATTGTAATCCCCTGCATGAGTGTAATACTGAAATGAAAAATCATTTGTCTTATAATAAAATGATAATAATTATGGACTTGTATGGGCTTGACAGTGTGTCAGTAGTGATAATAATTAGCCTGGCTAGATACATGATTACCTTCTGTGTAACTATACAGCTAGCAATAATACTGTCAGTTTAATCTATCTCAAATAATGGTTCTTGAACAAACAGCTTTATTGTCTGGTCATTTTGCCTTCTGTGGCTGGTGTGCAGCAGAATCGTAGGATCTCCTTCACCATTAACCTGAGGATTATTTGCCTCTCTTCTGTGTTCTCTTCCTTTGCCTGGTATGTCTTACATGTACTCCTTTCTGTGACACATAACCTTAGTTAACATCTTAATAACAAAGGGTACTGAGTTTTCTTGTTTTGAGAATTTACAAGGAGAGGGGAAAATCCATTGAACAGAGTGATGTGAATTTAGATATTTTCTAAGTCATTTACCCCTCTCGACTCCAAGCTTACCTTGTTTGTTAACAATGTTAATTTCCACTTTTCCCCCAAGTATTTGGTATTGCCAAGTAGTAAATTTGGTTCTGGCCTGGAAATCAGTGCTGGTTCATATCCTTGTCTCTTTGATCCAAAACCATTGTTTATATAGTGCCGTACTGGTCAATTTGTATGGCATGATGGATCTTCATTAATAATTTCTTACACAGGAATTTCTTTGGGTCGATTTAAGAATGTGTGTGTGTGTGTGTGTGTGTGTGTGTG